GCACAGGGGCGCCTGGTGGAATAGTCCGGGGGGAAGCTGGGGCAGGGCAGACCAAGAGGGGCACGCGGGCAGCGCCTGTGGCCGGGTGGCCGTGCTGGCACCCGCTGCAGCCGCACGTGCCACGCGGGGCAGGCGTTCAGCTGCCGCTGTGGCCCCCGGTGCCGCGCGGCTCCCGCCGGTGCCGGCTCCTCGCCCGCGCCTGGCAGCGGCAGAGCCCGCGTTTGCGCCTCGGGGAGGGAGCTCTGGCCAAGCTTCCCCTCCCCGCGCCGGGGAGCAGGAGAGGAGCCGGAGGCGGCTTTGCACCACCTCATCTCGCGGCTTTTCAGCCTGCCAGGGAAGGGCGGGGGAGAGGGGAATGAAGACAGATGCAGATAATATCGCTGCCACCCCCCGGCCCCTGGGGGCTCAGCTACAATATCTATTATAGATGAATCCAGCAGGGGAAGGGCTTTCGGCGAGCAGACAGCGGGGCGGGCGYGCGGGGACTGTGTGCAGAGGCAGGGCGCCAGGGAAAGCGGGGAGCGGCGCTCCGGCTCCCTGCTGCGGGACGTGGTGCCGGGCACGTGTGGGACTGGGGCCGGCACCAGGCGCCGGGGGCTGCTCCGTCCCGGACAGCCCGTGTTGGCGGCGTCTGGGGGCCTCRAGGAGTGAGGGGACGCCGCGGCGGGCACCTCGGCGAGCGGGGCGCCGGCCTGGCGCGAGGGCAGGAGAGACACGGGGAAAGGGTCACCTTGGGGGGAGGTGATGAGGTTTGGAAGGGAAGCGGCCGGTCTGGCCGACAGAGACAACGCCAAGGAGCTGCAGGACGCCAGGGCCACCCTGTCCCTGCRCGCGCCGGTCTGAGGGGCGCTGCCAGGAGAGCCCTGGGGCTGCTCTGCGGGGACCCGGCGCGCGGGGACCCTTCACGTGCTCCTTCCCCCCGGCCAGGCCACGGGGTACCACAGTGGCAGTGGGGCAGGTGTCCCTGCCCGGTGCGACCCTCTGTGCTGGGCGTCCGTGCCCGTGAGCACGCAGCAGGATTTGCGGCGGGGCCTCAAGCCTCTGGCCCTTGTGTGGAGCAGGAGGCCGGGCGGCATCAGCGGGCACCGCGGCACCAGGTGCCACTGCTCGCACTGCACCTTCCAGCCCTCATCTCATCCTCATCCTCATCCTCAGCCAGCTCCTCTGCACCTCCAGCCCTCATCTCATCCTCATCCTCATCCTCATCCTCATCCCCATCCTCATCCTCATCCTCAGCACCTTCCAGCCCTCATCTCCATGAGCAGTGGACCCATGAGCACAACCCCCTGTCTCTCCATCCTCAGAGCCTTCCTCCTCCTCGTCCTCCTCCTCCCACCATCGCCCAGCTAATCCAGCGGCCCTCAGGCGAGGACCTGCGAGCACTGGTGCCRTACCTGGGCAAGTTACTTCTGCAATAGCCCCCTTCTCACAGACAGGGCYGAGGGCTGTGTGCACTGGGGATGGATGAGCCCCGTGATTCTGGCCATGTCCACATCTGGGGGCCAGGACAGCCCCCACAGCATCAGGACACGGCTGGAGATGGTAACAGGCTGCCCTGAACTGACTGGGAGAGGGAGCCAAAGGCACAAGACACAAAGGATGGTTTGGGGAGCAAGGCTGAAAGGGGAACATGCAGAGGACTTGCTGCCAAAGGATGGCACGGCTGCAGAGAGTCTTGTGTGTTCAGCGGGGACCAGACACTCCTTGGGAGGAGAAATCCCCTCTCTCTTGCAGAGCGCATTGTGTCTGGAAACCCCGAGCCACAAATAATCACATACTGGAAGAGTGTTGGGGAAAGGATCATATACACTTGCCAAATTCTTCTTCTAACGTAAGAGGTTCTTGTTCTTGCTCCCCTTGGGGAGCAGCGCATGGTTTGGCTGGCTCTTGCCTGGTGTCCCATGGTGTCCCTCCCGGTTTCCCATGGCGGAGCCTGGAGTCCTGCTGGCATAGGGATGCCGGGAGCTGGAGCGATCCGAGGGCAGCTGGTGCTGGCTGAGCTGCCCTACAGGTCCCTGGCACAGGGAGAGCCACCCAGGAATGGGAATTTGAGATCCCGAGCAGCGTGGACAGGCGGCCAGCTCCGTGCAGCGGAGGCAGAGACAGACAGATTGACAGCTCTGGGGGATGGACAGATGGCTGGATGGATAAACAGATGTGTATGAGGGAGGGAGGGATGCATGGATGGATGGATGGATGGATGAAGAGACTGATGGATGTATTTGAGAGGGGGATGCACGAAGAGACAGACAGATGCACAGATGGAGAGCAGGCGCTTGCTCCCTTCCCTCTTGCCCCCGGTGTGTTCTGGTGCGGTGCTCCTCACACTCTCCCTGCAGAAGGTCAACTGGTGTGTGTGACGTTGGCCGGGCGCCTGCCCGGGTGGCAGCAGAGCCACAGGGCTGCCTGGCACCGTCCCCGTCTCCTTTCCTGGGGGGGCCCTTGCAGGGCTAGCAAGTGGGAAATTGCRTTCCCACACAGGATTTGGAGCCAGGAGCCCCAGCTAGGTGCACGGCCATGCTCTGCCCATGGGGCCCGGTCACGCAGAGCCGCTTAGCACCACRCTGAGCGGCAGGGAGGCTTCCCGGGGGCTCTCTGTGCCGTGCTGTCCATCTGCGCCCCAGCTCCTGCGCCCGGGGCGCCTCTCCTGCCTTTGGAGCCTCCCATCCCGGTCTTCTCCCCCCACCTCATCCAGCCAGCCCTGGTAGGGTTTGGGAGCGCCGTTTGGGTCCTAACGCGGCTCCCACCCGCGCCGCGCTCGGGATCCTGCACAGGAGCCACACATTCACAGCTTCTCAGCTGCAGCCTAAAAATAAGAGGTTTGGGAAATATCTAGCAAAGGAGTGGGAGGCGGCGAAGAGGAGGAAGGAGCGGCCGAGCGCCAGGCAGGCAGCATCTGGGGAGCCCCGGCACGGCAGCGCGGCCGCCACGCGCCCCTGCGCGCCGGGCCCCACGAGCCCAAAGCGGCTCCCGCAGCAGCCCCGGATGAGCGCTCCGTCCCCTCGTCCCGCGGGGAACGGCGCTCGGCTCTGCGGCACGCGTGGGCACCGGCTGCRCGGGGAGAGGCTCCCCACGGCGGAGCAGCAGCCGCCGGGCGCCGGGGTGGCTTTGATCACCGCTGCCAGGGAGCTCGGTGGCTTTGGCCGGGGGAGGCTCTGCACGGCTTTGATTTCCCCCAGGCTTGTTGCTTCTGCTGCCRATGCGCCAAGGACGCGGGAGAGGCCGGAGGGGAACCCGTCGGCCCGGAGGGCGAGGGGGTAGGAGGATGTGCTTGGAGAGGACAAGGCTGGAGCAGGCAGCAGGCGAGGGACGGCCGTGCAGCACGGACTCCGTGCCCACGCCTGGGGCTGCAGCTGGGGCTGGTGCCCTGCGGCACCTCCCAGTGCCGCCGCTCAGGGCCACGCTGTGGAATGAGCTCCTGTTGCATGTGCAGGGGGGTTTAGCAGCGAGGGTTTCGCTGCTGCACCAGTGTCCTCTCCAGCGCAGGAGAGTTGAGGAGCTGCTCCTTATAAAGCCCTTGCAGACGGATGGAAACTCCCCAGCCCGTGGCTGCAGCTCTGGAAGGTGCTGGGTATAGGCTGCTCGGATCGGAGCCACTTGAGGATAGTTACAGCCTGCCTAGGATCCCTCTCGGCTGGGTCTGGCTGGACCTTTCCATGCTCTGGATCCAAAAGCAGGGCTCTAGGAGCTAACCTGGAGAGACTCGTGCAGCTTGGACTGGAGTGGGGGAGAATCCCCCGCTGTTAGTCCCAGGATCTTTACAGGAAAGGCAGGAACCTTCTCCTTGCGCCGAAGTCCCCGCCGGAGCTGAGGAGGGCAGAGCGTCCTTACGGCACGGGGCGCTTGCCTCGCCGCTCAGTGCCATGGAAAGGCTGGTCACGCAGGGCATCGATGCAGTGCTCAGAAAATAATAATCCACGTCGGCTGCCTCGGCAGGGCTCGGCCGTGCTCGGATCGTGTGTGAAGAGTTTCGCCTGCGGCTGCGAGCTGCTCGTGCTCTCGCCGGGCGATCCCTTGCCTGCAGCCAGCGGAGCGCAGGGCAAGACCTCGCAGTGCTGGTGGAGAGGGGACGGCGTCTCCAGCCGCCTCCAGCCCTCAGAGGGACCCTTTTCAGCGGCTCAGGGACGTTCTCCCGGTGTTGCAGGGACCCTCTCCCTCAGCGCAGGGACCCTCCCTCTCCTGCTGCTCCCGTGGCACCGCGCTAACGAGGCAGCTAATCCCGTCGTCACTAAGAGGCAGTAAGAAGGGAGTTGCACCAAACCACACCGATGTACACCCATGTAAGGAATCAAATCACACCGAATCCTCATGCAAGAGCTGCAAGGAAGCCCTACGCCCCTGCGCTCCCCACCGCCGCCTTCCCCCTTCCCTGCCCCACGGCGCCCAGCCGTGCCGGGCACGGGGACGCTGCGGGACAGGAGATGCTGGGACCCAGTGCACAGGCCCAGGGCCCTTCGGGGGCCACCCAGCCTCGGTCCCGTCGGCCGAGCCCGGTGGCAGCGCGCGCGGGTCCCTGCAGGCTGCCAGCCGCCGTCTCGCCCGYGCCACGTGCATGCCTCCGTCTGCGCCGGCAGATAAAAGAGATTTATGGAGAGCGCCGGCGAAGCAAAGGGGCAGTGGGGAGAGTAAACAAGCACCGTATTTATCATGCGCTCCCGTCTCCGCAGCCCTGCACGCGCCGCCTCCCGCCTGCGGCAGCGGCTCGTGCGGGAGCCACCGGGTACTGCTGCGTGGGGAGCCCTGGTGCTGCAGGGCACGGGGCTGTGCCTGCCCCTCTGGCCTCCCTTTCCCTTCCTCTGGGGCACAGAGATATTTCAGTGCAGCTGCAGCAAGGCTGCTCGTTGCCCAGCACCATTTAGGGCCTGGGTGAGCAGAGACGCTCAGCCCCACATCGGAGAGCCTTGGTTGCGCTCTCTAATTAACAAGTGCTAATTGCCCAGAAAACAAGTCATTTAAGCCTCAGCTGAAAGCAGCCACTGGCTGATGTCAGGGCTAGGACCATGGGAAACAGAGCTAATGTGGGGCTGGGCCCATGCAGGGTCTGTGTGCATGCCTGTGCATGCGCTGTTGTGAACGGGAGCTGTAGAGCAGGCTGTGCCAAGCGCCGCTTCTTGGAGAGGGCTACCGAAGGTAGGAAGCAGCCACAAATTTGGTCAGGAGAGTAATGCACGGCGCTGGCTGRCGCCGAGCCCTCTGGCCAGCCCTCGAGGCCTGGCGCGGTCCCCAGGGCTGCAAAGCTCCCTGAGCCCACGCGTGTGCTGCAGCCGGGAGCAGGCGTAAAGCGCGGGCCCTGCTGTGTCCCAGCAGCTGGAGGAGCAGGCTCGGCACCGCTGCCTCTGCAGTGGCACCGCTGCATGCACCAGCACCCCCCTTTACCCCTGTGGATCCCTGCCCTGGCTCTGCCACCTGGGGGATGAGGACTCCGGGGATGCTCCAGTTCTCCCGCTGCCTGGATGAGCCTGACCACGCGTCCCGCATGGACCAGGCGTGGGGRGGTCTCTGCTCTGGGCATCCAAGCAGACCCAGGGCCGCCTTCCTTGGCACGTGTGCTGTGGAGCAGTGGGAGGCCTGGGGGTCCGAACAGAGCGGGCTGCAGAACCCGCGGCGTGGTGGCCCCGTGCCTTCCTCCCCCACCCCGGCCGCGTATCTGCCTTCCCTTTATAAATGTTTGAAATTAAGGGCTGGTCCCAAATTCCCTCCTAGGCAACAGTTGCTAAGTGAGTTTTATACACCGGCTCCTCGTGATGGTGCCACCAAGTTCTCCTCCCGCCCCGTGCCTTCCTGCTTTTGGGAAGAGGGAAGCGTGTGCGAGCGCTGGTCCGTGTGCCGAGCGCGCCGGCCGGGCTCCGTGCACTGAGGGTTTTGCAGGGAGCACCCAGCCTCGTCCCTCCCCTGCATCCCTCCCATTTTGAACTCAAATTTTTATCAACATTGTCATCTTTTGATGCTTTTTTTTAAAAACTTTTTTCCCCCTTTCAATTACAGGCAGCACGCTTCCCGTGCCTGCTTTATGTCTGTACACAAAAGGGGCCCTCTTTGCTGCGTGCCACGTTGCTGGCGATGTGATGAGCTGTGGGGCAGTGGTGAGAGGGCAGCTGTGGGGCTGCGGGACCCACAGGGTCCAGGCAGCTGCCCAGGGTGGCTGCAAAGGCAGCAGGAGGGCTTAGGCGATGCCCTGTGCATTTAACACCCGTTAAAATGGCACCAATTAAGAGCAGGCTCTGCAAGTCGGCCTTCCTGAGGCACAGACCTGCTGGGGGCAGATTAAAAGACGGGTAATGAAAGGGGAGCGTGAAAGCGGTGTCGAGCACGGGCCCTTTGTGGTGGGAATGTGGGACAGACACCGCGGGCAGCCCCTGAGCTCAGGAAGCGTGCGGGAAGACACGTGCCASCACCCGTGATGGGACCTGCAGGTCAGGCCCCTCTGGCCCTCCTCCAAACCGGCCTCGGGGCTCCTGCATCCCCGCGGCGGCCCAGGCACCTTCAAGGATCCTTCAAGGACAGCACCTTAGAAGTATCTGAAGTATCTGAGGAGAGTCCAGGCTCTCCTCAGAGGTTCCCAGTGCCAGCAGGAGAGGCAATGGATAGAAACACAGGAAGCTCCGTCTGAACATGAGGAAAAACGTCTTTCCTGAGAGGGTGACTGGGCATTTATCTTAAGAGGAAAGACTAAGCGAACCGGGTCTGTTTAGCCTGGAGAAAATTGAGAGGGGATCTTATCAACACGCGCAAATACCCGAGGGGAGATATAAAGAGGATGGGGTCAAACTCTTCTCGGTGGTGGCCCGAGATAGGACAAGGTGCAGCGGRTACAAACTGAAACATGGGAAGCTTCATCTGCACGTGAAAAAGAACTTACTTACCGTGGCGGTGACAGAGCGCTGGAACAGGTTGCCTAGAGAGGTTGTGGATTCTCCTTCACTGGAGATCTTCAGAAGTTGCCTGGACACCGTCCTGAGCAGTGGGTGCCTGGTAACTGCTTGATCAAGTGCCTTGGGCTAGATGGTCTTTAAAGGTCCCTTCTTACAACCGCAACCATTCAGGGATTCTGTGAAGGAAGAAGAGACAGCAGATGGGCTGAGATGTCCACTTTGGTCTCACCCTTGCCCAAGGTGGGGTGAAGAGCCATGTGTGAAGGGCCAAAGGAGGGTGAAGAGCCATGTGTCCATGGCCAAAGGAGGCCGATTCCCGGATTTGTGCCCGTGTCCCATCTCTGAGGAGGCCTCCGCAACAAGTGGGGCCATTGGGCGCTGCGCTGGGGAGAAGCTCCTGGAACATGGGACGTACGGCTGGGCCTTACTCGGTTGCCCCCAGGCTGTCCTGGCGTGCCTGTGAGCCCTGTCCCTGCGGCGGCAATGGGCACCACCAGCCTGGGATCTCCTCCGTGCCCTGCTTCTGGCCACCGAGGCCCTCTGACTCATCCCAGCATCTGTGCTGCGGGCAAATTTCATTACAATAACAAGGTCTGCTGGTGAATTAATTATTAACGATTATTGTTTAATATTTATACGGCCACGGGCAGGCTCACCGTGGCCTCTCTGCTTGCTGCTGGGGGTGGCTTCCCGGGATGCAGGGGCCCTATGGAGAAGGGGATGCTCTTGGCTCTGGGGTTGGGGTTGCTGAGCTCAGGCGTGGGCAGTGGTTCAGGTAGAGACAGTCCCCACTGCGGCACCAGGGGCTTTCTGGCCCCACAGCCTTTCCCTTGTGATGCTGGGACCCTGCTCTTGCTCCAGACCCACCCCTGTGGGTCTTTTTTGGCTGTCCCCATGCTCAGTGATGGTTGTGCTCCGTTCTCCCCACAGGGGCTCCCTCCCGCGATGTCATCCTCGTCTCTGCCATCATCACCGTCAGCCTTAGCGTCACCATCGTCCTCTGCGGGATCTGCCAGTGGTGCCAACGGAAACTGGTGAGTGTGTCCGCACCCAGTCCCCTCCGGGCACGGGTAGAGGCAAGGGGTGCCCCCCACGTGTCCCSCTTTGGACAAGCTGGGCAGAAGGAGGAGAACATGTGTTTTCCGAGCAGCTCGCACCGGGGCCAGGAGCGTCAACGTGGGGAGCAGCCTGTGCAGCCAGCCCTGCTCCCCTCCTGCTATGGCCTCCCCACACCTGTGTGCATCAGCCTTCACCGCTAATTGTTCACTAATTGGCATTAATTGAGCTCTTGCCTGCCCTGGAACGGAGCCGCGTGTTGAACCTGCTGGCGGAAATCGCTACCGAGCGCCCTGATTGCAAGTCCCAGTTAGAAGCAGGCACTGGCTTCATTRCTGCACTGCGATTCTCCCCTTTTTGGCGGGGGGCATGAACTCAATTAACACAGGCTCAATTAATCCTAAAATTACCTGCTCTTCCCCTGTTGACGTGGTGCTGGGGTGGTGCTGGAGGTGACTGTGCACCCAGGCTAGCGCTCTTCCCCTGCCCTTGAAGCCCGGTGGGCCACATGCCCTACATTTGCCTCCCATCTGCAAGGAGCAAGGATGCGGAGAGCACCCACTGCAAGGAGTGCTGCTCAAAGGAACAGTCCTGGAGCCCTGGGCCGTTCCCAAGGGCCCGGGGAAGAAGCACGGAGAGTTTTCCCTAGGGTTTGCTCTAGGACAGCACCAAACCTCCCTGCTCATCGAGGTGTGTCTGTCTCCTCTCCCCGCAGGGTAAGCGTTACAAGACGTCCCTGGAGACCGTGGGGACCCCAGACTCCAGCCGAGGCCGCGGTGAAAAGAAAACCATCAAGTAGGTGCCAAGCTGAGCGGGGAGAGGGCTGCGGCTGCACGTGGCCCGTGGTGCGTCCTAACATGCCGGGCGTCTGATGGGGGCACCCTGTCCCCCCAGGGAGCAGGAAGGTGCCTCTTTGGGGACAGGCATGCTTGTCCTCTTTGCTCCCAAAGGCCTGGGAAGGCTAATGAGCCCCTTGCCACAGCTTTGCCTTCCCCCTGGTGTCCTCACCTTTCATGAGGGCAGAGGTGGCCCCCGGCTGCTCTGGAGGGCCGCTCCTTGGTTCAGCCCTGAGCTGGGGTGTCGCAGCTCTCTGCAACCCGCTTCGGAGCCCGTGCACCAGGTCCTGGGGCTGCTGGCACGGAGCTGCAGGGACTCTTCCAGGAAGGGCTCCTTTCATGCTGGGGATGAGCTGAGAACGGGGGCGGCATGCCCCAGCGGCGATGGGAAAGGGAGGAGAGGCAGCGATGCCAGCTAGGTGAAGCTGGGAGTCGAGCCCACAGCAGTGTGGGGCTGGGCCGGCTCTGCGCACCGTGACGGGGGTCTCTGGAGAACGGGGGGCTCTGCAGGGTGAAGGAGAGCTCCAGTCCTCACAGGCCGCTCGCCGCAGGCTCCTCCGCCTCTAAGAGCGGATGGAGGTCGGGCTCCGTCCTGATCTCTGCACTGTGCCGGGGGGCCTGTTTGGAGCAGGGGGCACTTGCCGGGAGCCCACCTTTGGCGGGGGGGCTCAGGCCTGCAGCAGAGCAGGCACAGAGGGCAGCAGCACATCCGCACGCTCATCCACACTCAGAAGCAGGCCTGCCCGTGGGTGCTGGATTCCCCAGGAAACCGCCCTGCGCCCGGCGGGATTCACTCGGCTGCCTGGAAAGGGCTCCCGGTGCTAGACCGTGCCATGCGGATGACGCCTCCTCCTGTGTTATAACTTGAATGCCTGGTGGCAGACGCTGAGCCCGGGAATCCTGCTGGACGCAGCTCTTGGAGAGGTGACTGGAGCGAGCCTCGACCTGATGCGCTCCCAAAGGCACATGGGAGATCCCAGCAAGCCTGGCGGGTTAGGCCCCGCAAAGCTCTTTGCGTCCCGCTCCGGCGCCACCGAGGGATACGGATAAATCCCCGGGGCGGGGATTTGTTGACACCACCGTCCTGCACCGCATCCCGCTCTCCTTTCCCACGGGCAGAGGCGCCAGCTCCCTGCGGCCCTGCCCGCTCCGCTCTCCTCCGTGTGCGTTTGCGTGTGCATGTGTGTGTGTGCATGTGTGTGCATACGTGTCCAAGGGCTGTGCGCGTGTGTGGCGCGGCCGGGCGCCGCCAATTCTCTTTGCAGGAGGACTCGGCCCGGCGCCCTGGTGGGAGGAGGGCTGCCGGACGCTCGCTCCTTCCTCCCCTTGCAGGCATTCAGGTTCTCTCTCTTGTATTTCCCTTTTCTTTCTCCTTTCGTCTCCGGCCGCCGCTGTAGCGATCTAGACAGAGACTTTTGGAATAACAATGACAACACAGTGCAGCAGAAATGGAGTTCCTACCCTCCCAAGGAGTTTATCCTAAACATTTCACCCTACGCCCCGTACGGTGATCCACGGCTTTCCCTCAAGTGAGTCTCTCTTTGCCCGCTCCGGTCACACCTCGTGAGTATCCGAGCAGCCCCCGCTCCCGGCCGCCCCCGCGCCCCGTCCCGGGCCGCTGCCCGGGGGGACGAGCGACCCTTCCCGCGCGCTCGGGGCGCCGCGGGGCCGGGCTCGCGCGGTGGGGACCCCTCCCCGGCGCCCGCCCCGCTGCGCCGCGCCGCTTCACTCACTAACACGGCTTTTCTCTCCGCGGCGCCACTCCTGAGCAGCTCTCCACGCCGTTTGCCCAGCCCGGGATGAGCGAGAACCTTTTACTCACCTCCCCTCCTCCTCCCTACCTTTATTATGTTGGGTTTCTTTTTTTTTTTTTTTATCTTTCCTTTTCTTTTGATTTTGCCACCATCACCACCTTCCCAAGGGGATGAGGTGCCGCCACGCCAGGGCCCCCCTCCTTTTGCAGTGCTGACGTCTCTCTCTTTCTCTCTCTCTCTCTCTCTCTCTCTGTCTGTCTCTTGTCCGTCCGTCCGTCTGTCCGTCTGCCTCCCCCCCCGGCTCTCCCCCCGTCTCCGCCACCCCCTCCGTGTGTGTCCTGGGGGGTCCGGCCCGGCGGCCCGGCCCAGTGGCTCTCTGTTGTCAGGGGCCAAGCTGACGGCGTCGGCCGCGGCGGGGCTGGCGGGCGAGCGGGACGGCCGCCCCGGCGAGAAGCAGCGCCTCGGCGAGGACGGCATGAAGAGCAGCGTCTCTGCCCACAGCGAGCCCGGCTCGGGGAAGGCTGCCCGCGGCCGCTGGCACACGGTGCAGAGCCACCTGGCCGCAGGGAAGCTCAGCCTCTCCAAGTGAGTGAGCACGCACGGGCCCACGCCGCGGGCCCACGCCGCGGCCCGCGCGCGCCAGGAGGACTCCCAGGGCCGGACTGATGGCGACTGAGGGAGGAGAGCGGCCTCCTGGGCCTCGCTCCCTCCGCGGCCTCGCGCAGGCGCCTCACGGGCCGCTCCGCTTCCCCGGGGGAGATGTGGTCCGTGAGATGTGGTCCGCCTGAGGTCCGTGAGATGTAGGGAGCACATGGGGCTTTTGCCATTTCTGCGGGAGTTTCTGCTCGAGGAAAGATGTTGGAGGAGATCCGCGGGCTGGGGGAATGAGAATCACTCTTTGTTAGGTGGAGTTAATTTATCCGTCGGGGCTGTGGGCTCAGCCCCMTGTTCCTCATCTCCTTACGTATTTCCTGTGCTGAAGTGCGGCAGACTCCGTGGCTAATTCGAACACCGTGTGGTCCTGTGGTTCCCTGAATAGCAAGCGCGCTCGCCTGCCTCATCCAGGGATCCGGCAAAGCAGTTCCCTGGAAAGGGCAGGCGCGTTGCCGCACGCCGCTGCAAAGCGCCAGCGTGCAAGCGTTTCCTATGGAAATGTCAAGGCGAAATCTGAAGTACCTTTCGCACCGGGCTTGTTCCGACTGTGCTATTAGAGGGGAAAAAAAAAAAAAAAAAGAAAAAAGAAAAAAAAAAGTGTGAAAATCGGGAGCTGTCAGATACAGCTTCCCAGCCCCAGCTTCCCTGGCTCGCATGCATATGGGGTCCTACCTGGCACATCTTGTGGCAGAAGGAAGGCAGCCTTGTGCTGSGGCTCCGCGTCAGAACGGGACGTCTTCCATAGCCTCTGTCGGGAGCGGGCTGCAGCCTGCCCGGGCTCCGCGCCGCTCCTGCGGGCTGGTGGGAAGCGCGGCTAAGAAAAGGCAGCCCGCAGATGCTGTGCGAACGGCCGCAGATGGGAAACTCGGAGCGTCGCTTCAGCTCCGCTTGCTGCGACTCAAAGCCAGGCTCAAATCCCCTGGGCTGCGGCTCGTGGTTTCAACCCCCCGCTCAAACGCAGCCCAGCAGGTGCCAAGGCTTCCGACTTGGAAGCGGCTCTTTCTGCTCCAGAGCTGTGCAATGCCGCTGCCAAGAGCCGGGCAGACGGAGCYGAGGTGCTCTAGGAGCCTGGCGGGCCCGTCACAATACAGCATGTGTTGGAGGGCAGTGGCGAGCAGAGCTCAGGGGGTCGGGAAGCCACCTTTGAAGCCTCCTGCCTCGGCGTTTGTTGCCCGAAGGATCCCCCGTAGGCTCCATTTCCGTGGCGTTCACGCGTTCCGGGCGCCTCATCCCCCTGCCTCGTGACCGAGGCGGGATGCGCGCGGGCTGAGCGGGTGCGCGGGGCCCGTCCCCGCTCCTTTGCGCTGGGTACTTGCGTGGGGGCTCGTGGGCTCGGGGACAGGCGCTGGGGCCGCCCGGGCGCCGGCCCCGCTGCCGCGTGGCGCTGCCGGCCGCTAGGAGCYGGCGTCTCCGCTGGCTCGCCGCCCGGCAGAGCCGCATTTAGTTTCCTGTGACTGAGAGGTTGTAAATTGAACTAATTTAGGAGTTGATAGAAAACTGAAACAAGGTCGGYGGCAGGCGGAGGGGGAGGCGCGAGAGGCACGGCGCCTGGGCCAAGCGCCCGCCCGCCGCCCTGTGCTCCCGGCCCTAGCACTGCGCCAGGCCAGCTCCACGGGGCGGGAGGGCTCTCTGCTCCTCCCAACTTCCCTCCCTTCTTGCTTTCATTCTCACTCTTTTCTTCTTTTCTTTTCTTTTTTTGCTTTTTTCACCTCTTATTTTTATTTATTTTTGGAATTTTCTTCCTCTCTCTCTCTCTCCCCACTGTTTGCCACGTTAGGTTTCAGCCATTGCCCCAGCCTGGCCCCTGGGGCAGCAGAAGGAGAGCGGGCTGCTGCTAGTGAAGGCGATTTTCCCCCGTGCTGGGCAGGGATAGTCATCCCAAGAGGGTCTGTGGCACTGGGGTCGCAGCTTTCTGGCTGTCTCCATATGCTGGGGGACCCTGCACAGACCTGGGTACAGCGTCTGCACCTCCCTGTGTCGCATGGCCCTGCGGGTTGCTGGAGGAGCTTCCCAACCATGTCTGCACATGTGTCCAGCTCGCACACCCCGGCGCGGCTCAGCAGGCACCTGGTGATGTGTTTTATCATGGGTCCCTTCCCACCACCAGCAAGGGCCACATTGCAGCCCCGCTTGGGTTTAAGCAGCAGGGCCAGGCACCAGCTTTGGCCTCATGTGCGGACCACATGATGTATCCCATTCTGTGTTGAACTGTGAGCTTTGTGGTGGTGGGGAGCGACCTTGCCCTGTTTGCTGGGTGTCCGCAGGGTCGGGCTGCGCAGCGCATGGCCCCTGGGCGCAGGGCTGTGCCTGGCCGCGGTGCCTGCGCCGGGTGCTCCTCCAGCCGCGCTCGTGCCCCGCTGCATGGGCCACGCTCCACGTGGCCGCAGGCTGCGGGCCGGCTGCATGGCTCGCTGCAGGCAGCGCTGTCCTCCCCGCCGTGGCCACAGCCTCTCCTGCTCCCTGCATGCTCCTTCCCTGCCGCCCGCCCAACGCCCCGGCATGGGCCTAGGGCTTCCCCCTTGCTCCCAGCGCACGGCTGCGGCCAGGGCCCAGCGCCTGTCACCAACCCTGCTGCTGCGAACGGAGGCTCGTCTCCCTGCTGCTGGGATCATCAGCAGATCCCATCAGTGCAGGGATTCCGCCTTGTCCCCCGGCGGGACCCCGCTCGCTGCCCCAGTGGCAGCCGCGGAGCCGCAGGGCTCGCCCTCCTTGCCCCGGGCGCCACGGGGAAGGCCCGATCCCGCACCGTCCTGCCAGCCTCCTGCTCCGTCCCGGGGGACAGGGAGCTCCTGACGCCACCGCCATGGAGGGCTGGGCGCCGGGGTGGGAGGGCCGGGGGCCGGGCCGGCCGGCAGCACGTGAGCGGGAGCCGCACGGACGCCGAGGGATTCGCCTTCACGCAGCAGCCTCGTTAGCTCTCAAACGAGGCCGCCCGGGGACGGCGCCGGCCGCGCGCGAGCCGCGGGAGCGGGAGGGCGCCGAGCCGCACGGACGCAGCAGAGCGAGAGCCGCTCAGGAGGGGCCGGCAGGGCACGCGGGCAGGACGGAGCCTCGTGCTTCTGGAGAGACCGAGATGGGGCCGAGAGCTGGAGACACCGGGCGCTGCATCCGCTGGCCCCTGTCGGAGCGCTCCCTGCGCTGGGGCATCTTCTCTCTAACGCTCTTCTTTTCCTTCCTCCAATTTTGCCCCTTCACCTTCTTCTCCTTTCTCTCCTCTCCTTTGCCCTTCCTCTCCCTAAGTTTCGAGGACTCCACCCTGTCCACAGCCACTACCCTTGAGTATATCCCCACCTCAGCAGGCGATCCCAAATGCCAGAGGCCCCGCACGCTCATACGCCAGCAAAGTCTGCAGCAGCCCCTCAGCCAGCACCAGCGGGCCAACCACAGCCAGCCCACCACCAGCCAGAGCCTGGGCCACCTCCAGGCCCACAGCGGCTCCTCCTCCAGCACCAGCAACCCCCGAGGCTCCCGGGGCGGCCCGGCGCGCCAGGGCACCACCGCCAGCTCCAAGCAGCATGCGCCCGGCGGCCGGAGCCGCTCCAATCCTGGCAGCTGGGACCACGTGGTGGGGCAAATTCGCAACCGAGGCTTGGACATGAAGTCCTTTCTGTAAGTGTGCGCTCTTGTTTTTCCTCTCCCTTGCCCTGTCCCGCTATCTCTGCAGGGCCATGCTGTGTTGCGCTGCATGTGATCCAGGTCCCCCCGGCTCCGTTGCCTCTTGAGTACCTGAGGGCAGGCGGAGGGATGGGTTTCAGCGGTGCTTGGGGAGATGTTTCAGTCGCTCCCTTGGCTGGGGTCTCTCCTGGGTTAGCTGGGCCATGTTTGCTTTGCATGGGGGCTTCACTGCAGGTTGCCTGCCACACCACCAACAGCCGCTCTTGCAGAAGGGGCTTGTCGCTCCTGCGGTGCCTTTCGGCCCACGGTGGCGCCAGGGGTGTCTCCTGGATTGCAGGAAGGGATGAGGAGTCCTTGGTCCGTGGTCAAACCGAGACAGGCCTGGCCTTGCCCCCTGTAACACGGGGAGGCTTGGGTCTGTCCGTGGCTGCCTTGATAGTGTGAAATGGGATGAGCGGAGGAGGCTGTTTGGGGTGTGAGCCCAAGCGCCCTCCTCGCAGCCTCCCCTGTGGCTGGTGGGACGTTTCCCCGGGTGGGATTTGTCACCCCTGGGGCTGTGGCCGCCAGGCGCGTGTCCCTGGGGCTGCGGCAGCCCCGTCCCCGGAGCGGGAGCGGGAGGCAGCCTTGCTGACGGTGCCCCTTGCCCCGGGGTGACCGTCTGTGCAGCCCTGATAGCAGGGCCTGTCAGCCTCCGCTGTGATCTGCAAATGCGGCTCTGTTGGAGCTGCTTGGAGCGTGTGATCTTTAATCTGTCCTCAGTGTATCTCCTATCAGTGGTGGCTTTTAAATCTCAAAGCGCCGAGCGCTAATCTGAGTCCCTTGCTGTCCCCGTATCTCAGCACATGACATTTTCACTCCTTCCGAGAGCATGTCGTCCGCTCCCCAGCCTCCCAGTGCCCTCGCCCAGCCCTGCTAGCCCCCATTCACCCGCCCAGGCCACCGTGGCACTTCCTGCAGGGGTGGAGGCAGCAGSCGAGACCCCAGCCTCGTGCCGGTGCACACAGCTCCGTGGGCAGCGGGTGCTGAATCAGAAGGACGAGTCCCTGAGAGGGGTCCCGCTCTGCTACTGCCTCCCCAGGGCAACCCGGGTAAAACCAGTTACCCTTCCTCCTGTCCGCGGGCAGAGCCCAAATTGTCCTTCCCTGGCCCCGCTGCCGTGCTGCCCCTGCAGACACAGTGCCAGCGCCACTAACCCCGTAGCCGCCTTCCCCATCGTTAGCTACTGCGTGATTAATGCCGGCCTCTTCCTGGGCTGCTCACACCCCCCTGCCCCTCCACTTGCATGTGGCCGTCGAGGCCCTGCCTCCTGGCCTCTCCAGGAGAGGTTTGTGGCAAGCTCCATTTGCTGCTGCCCTGATTTATAGATGAATCTCAGCTATCCTGGGGGTCATATTCCTCCCTGTTTACCCAGCATCATCGCTGGCTCCAGCCTTAATTGGCGGCAGGGCGGAGGGGAGTATCCGCAGAGCAGGGACGTGCAGAGCAATTGCGCTGTTTCCCTGTGGAGGACTCGTTGCCATTTACCACCACTGCTTTGCAAAGCCATTAGCTTCGCTTTATTCTGTTTACCCTCCCGCCTTGCTCCCCTGTGCTGCAGTGCAAGTGCAGCCGCGAGCCCGGAGAGGCTGCGCTAGCCGGGTGGCGTCATCCCCAAGGCTCTCCTTGGGGGAAAGACGGCATCCCAGAGCCTCCCGAGGGTGAAAATAGGGCAGCGCACACACCAGGAGCTGGGCGCCTCGAGCACCTGCCCCGTGCTCTCGATTCGTGGCAGGAAGGGGGTCAAACACAGCCCGAGTGCTTTCCATACCGCCCAAACARTCCCTTTGCCAGCAGGTCCTTTGTATGGCCTTTGCCAGCAGGCAGCAAGGATGCTTAAAGGAGCAGGGAGAGCATGGGGAGGGCTGAGTGTCCCTAACACACTCAGCTGTGCTTCTCCCTAGAGCCGGAGGAGGATTTCTCTCCTGGGCTTTGCTTGCTGCGGGCAGCCGTGTCCAGCAGGAGTTTTCCTGGCCTCCCTGTCCTGGTGTCCCTGTCCTCACCCTGTGGTGAGGATGCCGGTGCTCCTGGCATGCCTGTCCCCGCTGCTCTTTCACTCCGCTCTGCGTCTGTCCCGTGTCTTCCCACAGCTCCTCTCTCGGGAGGGAGGCTCCTGTCCCTCCTCCAACCCCATGCAACGTCGCCCCTCATCGCTGGCCACSCTCCTCGCCCCTCTCGGCACCGCTTCCCCCTTGGCAGAGCTTTGGCATCCCCTCCTTGCAGTGACATCTCCGAGCAGGGCAGAGCCCGCCAGTGCCGCCCAGAGTGAGGAACGTGCTGTGCAGCCTCCGCAAGGAGCTGCGTGGGGGACACAAGGGTGGCCACAGCCACAGGAGGCAGCCAAAGCGACTGTCCTGTGCTGGGGCCAGCAGCCTCTGGGCGTGCGGCTCCGTGGGCGCCCTGCGTTGAGCGGCACTGCCCCAGGGGTGGTTTCTTCTCCAGCTCTCCTGTCTGATGCTTTGTTCTCCTCTCTATTTCTCTCCTGTTCTGCTTCCTCCCGCCCCTGCGCGGCGCCCCGTGGGCAGGGAAGGCCGGATGGTCGTGCTATCGCTGGTTTTGGGACTCTCAGAGCAAGATGACTTTGCCAATATCCCCGACCTGCAGCCCGCTGGGACAGAGCCGAACCAGCCGAACGCTCAGGGGGACAAGAGGTATGAGTAAGGAAGAGGGCAGTCCTGCAGGAGGAGGCGACGAGGGCCTCAGCCAGGGTTGGAGGAGGAGGAGGCTGGCCTCACGGAGCGTGAAGGTTGGAGCGGCAGAGGGTGGCGCATCAGGCAGCCCGGGCACCGGGCACGGTGACGTTTGCGGACGCTGGCAGCACCCCCTAACCCGCCGGTGCCCACGCTGCTCCTCCCTCTGGAGTCGCTACACTGAGCAAAGCCCCCCACCCTCTCCTTCTCCCTCCCACCTTCCCTTCTTCCCTTCCCCATCCTCATCCACCTCCATCCTGCCCTGCGCTGTGTGCATGCTGGTGGGGTGCGTGCTTGCGGGCAGCATGGAGAAGAGCCCAGGGGGAGGGAAGGGGACAGCAGAGAGATCCCTGTCCCGGGAGAAGGGACAACGCAGAGGAGACCCCGAGACGTTGCCATGTTTTGCAGAGGGAGCGTTCCCCCGCCTCGAGGATCGGTTGTGCATTGCCCCCAAACACGGCACGTGCTGCTGGAGCCCAGAGCACGGGCCATCCGCTATCGCCTGCTGGGGGACCCCATCCCCTGCAGCCCCACGGAGCTGCCCGGGGCAGTGGCTTGTCCAGACGGGGCTTGTGGCAGCCCCCAAGCGCCCTGACCCAGGCCCTTGCCCGGGCATGCCACGAGCCCCGGGGCGGCGGAGCGGCCAGCGCTGCTGTCAGAGCCTGGGGAGCCCCACGAGGCTCTGCTGGGAGCGGCTGGATGGAGCCAGGGGGCCCTGAGTTATGGGAAGCGGGTGTTAATCCGGGTGTTAATCCCCTCTGGAGCAGGGAAGAGGTGTGAAGCAGGTGGGCACCGGCTCCCCGCGTGATCGGCATGTTAATGAACTGGCACCGTTCTCGCCCGCCAACTATTTTTACCTCCCTCGGGTTGCGTTTCGCTCCGTGGTTTAGCACTCCCCTCGCTGGCGTCACACTGCACAGCTCGTCAGCCAGGYCTCCCCAGGGCCCAGGGCTGGACCCCCACACCTCCCTGGCATGCAGGGCTGCACGGSGGTGCTGAGGGTGCAGGCTGCTTCTGCTCCTCATCCCCTTTGCTCCTCTGTTAGCTCCGGTTTGAAAGGCCCCATCCCCGTGCAGCACCTCAGTGTCCTCTCCCAGGCAAARCCTGTCCCCAATCCTCTGTGTCTCTCCCTGGTCCCCGTGAGCCTGGGCCCCTGCAGCCTGGGTGGGATTCGGTCGGTGGTGGAGGGGTGAGCCRGTCTTGGAGGGCACGGGGCTGGTTTCAGCATCCTCCACACTCTTGCCTCCCTGCCCAGCRCTCCTGGTCACCGTGTGCTGCTCTGCTGTGAAATGTCTCCTCCGTGCCCATGTCTCCGCTTCTTCCTTGCAGCTCAGCCCCGGTGGCTCCAGCCTCCTTCCGTCTGTCCTCCATTGACTAACCTCTCGCCATCCGCCCCGCTCCTCTCTTCCCCCCTTCCCTCCCCGCAGGCGCTGCGCTGGTGGTCCTGCGTTGGAAGATGCGGCGCCTCCTCTCTCTCGCTCTCTCCTCGCGCTCTCTCCCGCTGTCCTGTGAGCTSCGCCGATGCTCTCCATTTCCCAGGCTGCTTCGCAGACAAATCACCGAGTGGTCCCCACCGCTGGCCATCGTCTCCTCTGCGTTTGCTTCCGCCCCGTTTCTAACCTGACTTTGCCTCTCCAGCTCGCTCGGTCTCCTCCTTAATTCTGTGCACCCTCCTGGCTGCGCGGGCAGGTTGCGTGCGTGTGCCATGCGTGGGGCTGTGTGTGCGTGTGTGTGTGCAAGCGTGTGGGGTGTCGCTGCTGCTCCTGTGAGCACCTCGCTGCATGGGTCACCCCGGGCACGCGTGCGTCTCTGGCGCTGTCCCACCGTGCCCCGTCGTGCTGAGGTTTTCAGGGCATCTGTGTGTGCACCCGTTAGGCGCCTGGCTGCGGGTGTCCTGCGTGTCTGGAGCTCGCTGCGGGCGCCCCTGGGCGTGCCGAGATCCATTGCGCTCGCGCTGCTCTGAGGCTGTATGTACCGTCTGCACTGCTCCACCGCGCCGTGGGCTGGGCCGCTTGGGCGCGGTCGGCACCCCAGCCCACGGACGTGTCCCTGTGGCTTGGCTTGTGTGCGGAGCGTCAGCTCACAGCCGTCCGAGTGCCGGAGCGACTGCACGTGTGAACGTGGGCTCCTTGCCCGTTGGCGTGTGAGTGCCCGTGTCCGCTGTGGCTGTGCGCACCACGTGTCCGTCTCCCCGGGCGGTGAGTTTGGGCCTGGCCCTGTCGTGGGAGCCCGCGAGGGCTGTCCAGGCGTGCGTGCGCTGCCCCTCTCCCRGCTGGCCTCTGTGTCCTGTTGTCCCCATGCCTCGAGGCCCCGCTGTGTGCCCATGTCCATCGCCGCTGTGTCGCGTGGGCCAGTGTGTGTGTCCCCCTGCTCCGCCTGCCTCTCTCCTGCAGGGCTGCCCCCCACTCCTGGCGCCCAGTCCCCCCGCAGCGCTGGGGCAGCCGGGCCCCCAGCGTCGCAGCCGGCGGCACTGCCCGTCTCTGCCAGCCCCGGGGCCTGGCCGGGGTGCTGGAGTGCGCAGGGCAGAGGAGATGGCCCCGGCTGATGGAGCGAGGAAGGAAGCAGGGGGGGCTTGTAGCCCGCATTGAGCCCCCACTGTGGCAGGGATAGGGACAGGCAAGTGGATGCAGCCCAGAGGCGAGCGGGGAGGAAAGGCGGTGCGGTGGCAAGGCTCAGCCAGCCCCGGGCGCGAGCTGGTGGCTCGGCATGGCCCGGCAGCGGGTGCCAGTGCCGCGTGGCCGAGCAGCACGGCCCCACGGCTGCGGCACGGCCCCGCCAGCTCGCCGCGTCTGCCAGGTGGGGAGGCAGCGGGAAGCGGACGCGGTTCCCGGCCGTGCCGGACGTGCCGTGGCGGCGCGGAGCCAGCGCGGGGAGCAGCCCTGCTGTGAGCGAGCTGGCTGCGTTGGGCTCGCTGCGGAGCTGCTCGTGGGTGCCGCCAGCGCTCCCCAGGCCCTGCGTGCACCCAGAGCCCTGCCCGTGGGCAACGCGCACGCGGGCGGCTGGGGAAATGCGGTGTGAAGGCCAAGGGCAGAGAAGCCCCTCGCGGGCACACGGGGTGCTCTGAGCTCTTGGCTGGGTGGGTGCAAGGCTGCAGCCCCTGCAGGGCTCCTGGTGCCGGGGGGCACCCTCACTGGCTCGCTCCCTGCCCCCAGCCCCTCTGTGAGGTGCTGCGTCTCTTTCCGCAGGTTACCGGCCGCTGGCAAGGCGGTGAACACTGCCCCCGTGCCGGGGCAGACCCAGCAGCACGATGAGTCTGACCGGAAGACGGAGCCCCGCTCCTCCGTCTCGGACCTCGTCAACTCCCTGACCAGCGAGATGCTCATGGTGAGTGGGGTCCGGGCCGCGCTCCTGGCCGCCGCGCAGCTCCGCACACCCGCACCACGGCAGCCCGCGGCAGCAGGACCCCGCTCGCCGGCTGCTCGCCGCCTCTCTGACTCGTTGTGGAGATGTTTTAGGCTGACACGCTCCTAGTGAGGGGTGCGCAGCTCCTCTCAGGGTCCTGGCTTCATCCTCGGTGGGCACTGAGCCCTTGTGGGCCGTGGCTCGGTGGGAGGTGGGGAGCAGGCTCTTGGAGCAGCCTGTTTGGCTTCATGGCAGGTCATGGTCCAGATATCCTGGGTTGCCCCGGCGCCCTGTGCCATCCTGGTTGGTACAGGGGCCTGGGGCACACGGCAAGTCTCAGCCCTCGGGTCGCTCCGGGATGCTGGTAGCATGTTCTGGGCTCCCGTGCTCTGCCAGGTGGCATCGTCCCGGATCCCATTCCTGCTGCAAGTGTGTGCCAGCATGGTTGGAGCCCTCCCTCCCTGTGCACAAGCCCGGGCATCTCGGCGCGCTCTCCCTACGCTCCTTGCTGCCACACGCGGCCGCAACAGGCTCAGCACATCCCACTGCTGCTCTGCTGAGCCCCCGTGCCCCCCGGCTCCCAGGTGTTGCAGCCAATGTGCCCCTGCGCTGGCCGAGGCTCCTGCAAGGTGACACAGCCCGTCCCCCCAGGTCCGCGCAAGGGAGCCGGCTCCGGAGATGTGACGGACGGGCTGTCAGCAGGAATTTGGCTAATTGGTGCTCCTGGTCCCCGGGAAGCGAACGCAGGGAGCGGAGCCAGGAGTCATCTAAGGAGATGCCAGTGGCAGGGGGAGAGGGAGAAGCTGATGCCCTCTGACAGTTCCCCAGACAGCTGCGAGGGCCTGAGGCCATGGATCTGGAGATGAGTTATTTGTCTAAGCACAGCAAAGGGCTCAGGGCCCTGTGTCTGCTGGCAGTGGTGCGGATGAGATGTGGCCGTGCCCGCAGGCGCCGAGAGCGGGACCAGAGGGTAGCGGGAGGGGTGGCAGAGCCGGACAGCTCTGYGGAGGGGCCGCGTTCGCATCTCCGTGGCTGGAGGGAGCACCCCAGGATGGGGCACCCCTGTCGGCAGGGAAGTCTCCCGCCCTGACGTGGGTTTCCAAGCACCAGTCGGTCGCTCCAGAGGAGGTTGGGGCAGGCTTGTTTCTTCCACAGAGCAGAAAGAGAAGCATGGTGTTGACTGCACCGTGGCACAGGTGGCACAACCCCCTGCCGTGGCGYGTGTTGCTGACAGAGGGGCCACGTCTGTGCTCAGCCCAGTGCTCACAGCCCGTTCTCGCCATGTCCCAGCTCTCCCCAGGCTCCGAGGACGACGAGGGACACGACAGCTCCAGCCGGGAGAACCTGGGCCGCATCCAGTTCAGCGTTGGCTACAACTTCCAGGAGTCCACCCTCACCGTCAAGATCATGAAGGCACAGGAGCTACCAGCCAAGGACTTCAGTGGCACAAGTGACCCCTTTGTCAAGATCTACCTGCTTCCCGACAAGAAGCACAAGCTGGAGACCAAGGTGAAGCGAAAGAACCTGAACCCACACTGGAATGAGACCTTCCTCTTTGAAGGTAAGGGCACGCTGGGTTGGGCTGGACTCTGCTTGTCTTTGTGGTTTGGGGGACACCCTCTGCGCTGTCGTTTCCCCTTTCTGAGGTGCCCCCCCAGACAGCTCCCACCGTGCACCTAGGTTGGACAGCCCACCAGGGATGACGTGAGCTGGGCAGGACTGGCTCAACCTGAGCTGCAGGTGCATGAGCAGGGTTTGCAGAGCCACAGACATCAGGCTGTTACTGCAAGTGTTGGTTCTGTGTCCAGGTCATGCCCCTTCCAAACCTGGAAAGGATGTGGTTCATGCCTGGGGCCACATACATACCTGTGAAAGCATGTGGGTGACTTTCTTGTAAAGAGCTGCAGCAATGGCTTGAAGCCTCCAAAGTATGATGATGACCTAGGGCCACACTGTTCTTCATCTAGTGCCAGATGCCAACAATTCCCCTCTTCAGCAAAGGCAAGGCAGAGGGGTGCTGACCAGCCCTGAGGGCACGAGCACATATACATGCTGCTCATTTTGGCTAGATTTGTTCTCCTTGGCAAATTCCATCCTGTCTCCTCTGCCTTCATCCCTGGTGCAGGTTTCCCCTATGAGAAGGTGGTGCAGAGAGTGCTGTACCTCCAGGTCCTGGACTACGATCGCTTCAGCCGTAATGACCCCATTGGGGAGGTGTCCATCCCCCTCAACAAAATAGACCTCACCCAGATGCAGACCTTCTGGAAGGATCTGAAGCCCTGCAGCGACGGCAGCGTAAGGCCCTTGCTTGTCCTCCATGGTTTTGCAGGCAGGAGTTAGCTGTGTTCCTAATCCCACCCCAATGTCCTTGGGGACAGTCCTTCAAGTCACTGTGATACTCCAGGTTGCTGTGATATCCCAGCGGAGCTGGGACCAGGGACGGGGGCTGGTGAGGGTGGTACCATGGGCTTCCCAGGTGGGAGTGCTGTGGTGAGATCTCCAGTCCCCAGAGCCCTCACCAGTCCACAAATGGTTCCTTGGTAAGCTGAGCTCCCAGACATGCTGTCAGCTGGCAGGAACCCCTGGAAAAGACATCTCTGAGGGACCAAGTCCACCTGAGCTCGAGGGACTTCGCTCTGTAGAAATGAGCACTGGGGCACAAAGGGATTACGTGCTGTCCCCTTGTGTTTGCTGTCCTGCCTGTTGCCTGCTCGTTATCAAGACAAGGGAGGTTTCTGATTTGTTGTTTAGTGAAGGAAAATGTTTGACTTTTAAGGAGCAGCTTGCGTTTTCTTCCTRAATCAATGGCCACTTTTTATCTGTAAATTAAAGGAAGGGTTTAAATCTCCTAAATAACCTCTCCAGGGTCTGGCATGTGCCCTAACAGCTCCTCTGTCTCACAGGGAAGTCGGGGAGAGCTGCTCCTGTCCCTGTGCTATAACCCCTCTGCCAACTCCATCGTCGTGAACATCATCAAAGCGCGGAACCTCAAAGCCATGGACATCGGTGGGACATCAGGTATGAGCACCAGTCCTCATCTCTGGGCATGCCCAGTGCCTGCTGGCTCTGGCAGTCCCTCGCATGAAGTCTCCCAGGCACAAAGGGGAGCTGCCTTGCTCACCTGCACTTTGCAGGAGTCAAGGAAGGTCCTAGCTAAGAGTCTAAGAGAACGTGTGCTGTCCCCCCAGACCCATATGTGAAGGTGTGGCTGATGTACAAGGACAAGCGGGTAGAGAAGAAGAAGACAGTTGTCATGAAGCGTTGCCTGAACCCTGTCTTCAACGAGTCCTTTGCCTTTGACATCCCCACCGAGCGGCTGCGTGAGACGACCATAGTCATCACCGTCATGGACAAGGACAGGCTGAGCAGGAATGATGTCATTGGCAAGGTGGGTCCCGCCGGAGCTCGTCCTCCTGTGCATGGGGAGAAGACACGTGGCGGGGCACTGTGGTGGGGAGGCAGGAGCTCGTGGCCCAGCTGCCACTGAAGCAAGGCACTGGGAAGGCAGGAGAGACTGGGATCTGCTGCCACTCGAGTTGCCGCTTCGGGGGCGCAGGGAACGGGCTTTGAAACATGCTAGTTGTTTGCAGCAGAGATGTTAGTGCAAAAGAGAGGGAAGTCTTTGGGATGCCGGGTACAGTACAGGTCCACAGGAGCATTGTCTCCTCTGCCAGCCATCACTGACCGGCCACAAGCACATGGTTCTTCACGCGCACGCCCACACCTTGTGCCTTTCCTCTGCAAAAGCACTGTGGGCTCACAACATGACCACMAGCCGTACACCTCTGCCCTTCTCCAGAGCACAAGCCACAGAGGTGGGTCACAGACAGGGGTCCTCAGCTGGACGTGCCACTGCTGTTGGACACAAGCATTGGCAGTTCCACCAGCATGTGCTGGGATGGGAAGTCTGTGCCTGGTGCTATGCCACAGTTATGGTCACCCAAGAGTCAAACAGCTTTTTCTCAAGCTCTCTCCACCTGGATATGYTCAACGTCAGTTTGGCCATTCACCCTCAAGGTCTCCAAGCAGGGATTGCATGACAGCAGGATTCGGCATACTGCTCTTGGAGGCTGCAGAGAAATCCCACAGGTCCAGAGAAACAACACCATGCTCCGTCAGCTCAGCAGAGGAGTGCATGCTTGTATCTCCACGGGGCAAGCATCTGGGGAACATCCAAAACCACTAATTGACTTGAGGAGCCCAGGCAGCTCTGTTGAGTGCAACCAGTGCTGTCTCATGGGCTCAGCATCACTTGAGTGAGGCGGTGTGATCTGGAGTGTGTCTGACAAGAGGAAGTCACGTTCCTGCATGACCTTTCCCCAGGCTCACCCGCTTGTCTGGATGGGGATTTAAAGCATTTCGGATTAAAAGGATTTCAAACCCAGGTGCCAGGTTAGGAGCTGCTTTTGATTTTGGCAGCAGTCGGGATATGATTGAGAGCGGTGATCTCACCCTATGATGAAGTCTGGAGCAATTGTTCCTCAGTCCAGAGGGAAGCAGCAGGAATTGCCATGCCGATGCTCTGGAGGAAGGTTACCGTGAAGCAGCCGGTGAAGGTAGCAGCCTGCGCAGTCATTAGGGTTGCCATTGGTGTGCTCTGTCCTCATCCCACCTCTATGGAGAAGTCATGCTACAGAAGAAGATGGACCCCTATGGATCCCTTCATGGCTGGACTTTCCCTTCCATGCCTGGCCCAGGCTGAGACTCTTCCGAGACCTCCACCAGCAGCTGCGGTGTCTAGAGTGAGGATTCATTCATAAGACGTGAGGCTGAGGCCACCAACCAGCTTGCCAGTGAGAAGGCCATTCCTAGTGAGACAAGAGCTTGCTCAAACCCCAGTGGATGCAGACCACGGAGCTAGGTAGCACAAACAACAGTTTATCAGCTGGCTGGCAACAACGAGCTGAAGAGTGTCACGAGCTGGCAGCAAACTTCAGCCCCTCCATCTCCTGGCAGCAGCACAAGCYACGCAAGGGGCTGCGTGACCATCTGAGAGGGCTTCACGTCCCGCAGTGGCTCCATCACACGGGGGCCAGTGGTGCACCGAGCAGAGCCAAAGCAGAGCAGGATGCAGCCAGGATGGGGGCTGCCGTTGCCCTCYTCCCCGGGGCTCTGGCCTGGAAATGCTGCCGGCGGCTCTGCCCTCCTTGCAGCCTCCCTGCCGCACACTTCACGCCGCTCCGCGGCACAACCTGCTCCAGGGTGAACTTGAGTCTAATGACAGTCTATTTATAGCGAGGCAAGCAAAGCAAAGCCCCAGATTGTTCCCTTGTGCTGCAGCTCCAGGTGGAGGGACAGACAACCTCCCCGCCCTCGCACACCCCGCTGCAGCAGCACGGGGCTGCTCTGGGGCTGCACGGTGGGCGTGCTGGCACCGGGGCACTTGCGCGCCGAGTCCCACACTCGCAGGGCTGTTGCTGCCCTGTTGGGGTGACAGGGCTCCCCCCGAGCCCGGCGCTCCCGGGAGGTGGCAGCAGAGCCTCGTGCTTGCGGCACCGGGCGAGCAGGGACCTGCAGCTGCGCGCGCAGGTGCTGTGGGTGCCCCCGGCGCCGCCCCACCGCTCTGCCCCACGGCCCCGGCCCCGTTCGCGGCGGTGGCGGGATGACACGGTGCATCCCCAGTAACAATAACAACGGAAAAATTAATCTGCTCTCAATTTGATTTACGTTAAATCCATACAGCTCTCCACTCATTATGGTAACGATGATAAACGAGTGCAGTAATCTCCGTTATTACTGCTTACCGCAGAGAGTCAATTATTCCCAAACGCAGCGTTGTAATAAAGCAAACATGTCCATTGAATGAAACCCAGGAGGAGGCAGCCGGAGCGTTTCGGCACACGCGAGGCAAGCGCAGGGCCCGGGAGCAGAGCTCCCAGCTCTGCTACGCGCACGGACCCGCCGCACTTGTGGCTGAGGGATGAGGCAGCCCAGGCACCTGCCGCCACGAGGCTTTTCTAGCAGCAAGCTGGGGCTGTGAGGACACACGGACRGTGTCTGTGGTGCTTTGGTCTTGCACTAACCCCCCTGGCAGCGTCACCGCGGTGGAGCAAAGCRACGCCGCAAATGGCCGGGTGCAGCAAGCGGGACGAGGGGAGGGTGCCCTTCACGGGCCCAGCCGCAGTGCCGCGCTTGGCRACGTGCTAATAACTTTTGATTGAATAATTACCAGCGCTGTGCAAGCTCAGATCAGGCACCGCAATCCCCTTAGCTGGCGCGGCAGCTCCGGGCTCCATTAGCCGCCTCGGTGACACACGTCTTGGCTGTCAGCTGCGGAGAAGGTTGACACACACATTTGCTGCGTCGCCGTATGGAAAATCGATGGATAAAAATAACCTTCCCCGTGTGGAGAGGCTCGTGCTGACTGTGCCTCATGGCTAATTTGGATGCCACTGCCGGCCGTGCTGGGCCGGGAGGGCGCCGGGACAGCAGATGAAGACGTCTGCACACAGGGCGAGGGCTGCCACAAGGGGCGAAGCGGAGGGTCCCGCAACCAAGGCAGAAGGGCAGAAGAGCAGGGTATGAAATAGGGAGTCACAGGGGCCAGGTCAACAGCGGCAACCGAGGTGGCTACCAAGGCATGAGAGCCACCAGGCCTGGGAGATGTGCTGGGGGCAGCTCAGGGGGCTGTGTTGGGAGCAGCTCGGGGAGGGACAGGGTGGTCACGGGGCACTGTCAGCGCAGGTGCCACGGGCTGCGTGCTCCCCTCTCCCCACAGATCTACCTGTCCTGGAAGAGCGGCCCAGGCGAGGTGAAGCACTGGAAGGACATGATTGCCCGCCCGCGGCAGGCGGTGGCACAGTGGCACCAGCTGAAGGCCTGAGCTCCGGTGCCGGAGCGCACTGCCCAGCCCTCCGGCTTGYGGCCCTGCCGGCCTCCTGGTGCGGACGAGAAGCAGAGGGAACAGTTGGACGTGGCGGCCCTGCAGTCGGAGGGGACCCAGAGGCGCCCAGGACTGCGGCAGCTGCTGGACACGGCACTTGAGGACACGGTGCAAGAAGGAGTGACGCCCCCGTCCCCACCRCCGTGCAGGACTTCTCCAAGTGCTTCCAGCCCCCGCCCTCCCATCTGCAGAGCCCCTCTGACCCAATGCTCCCTCCCTGCATGATTGGGGAGACCCCCTGCCCCCAGACTCTTCCCGCCCTGCAAAAATTCCTCGAGTCGTGGGCGTCACCGCAGCGAGGCAGCCGGAGCCCGCGTCCTGCCGCTGCCGCCAGCCTTGCCGCCAGCCCGTGCTGCGCCCCCTCGTCCCCCCAGGTCCCYGTGGCCTGCCAGGACCAGCTGGGCAGCCCCCACGCGGGCCGGCAGCCCCAGCCTCCGTGCCACGGCTGCACGGTGGCTTCTGGGATCGGAAGCCATGACACACGGTGCATTAGCCAAAGCAGGCGTGTTTAGTTGTTCCCCTCGGTTGGATTTGTTGCTTTACTTCTCTCTTTGGGTTCAGTGGGAGCGTGACTTCAGTGACCTCATCGTGGCCCAGCCAGCTGTAGGACRGGAGCCGTGGCCAGCCCCAGCGCTGGGACCCCGCAGCAGCCACCCGCGCCCCCGGGGACACCCGCTGCCCACGGCGCTCTCCGCTGGCTGGTTCCCAGAGCATCCCCTGGCAGCGGATGGCTCCTTGTGCTGGAGGAACRGGATGGCTCAAGCACCATTGCCCATGTCTTGTCGCAGCGCCATGGGGCCAGCTCTGAGGCTGGACCATCCACCCCCAGGGTCTACATCCCACCTGGATTCATGTGCTGGCCCCTGGGTTGGCCAGGGCAACAGCTTTCCCCCTGGGAAGGGGCACAGCTAAGCATGGCACCTGGGACAGGCACCAGGAAGCAATGGATGGGAATGCCTGGCAGCGGCCGATGCCGCACGGCCGGCAGCTCCTCTCCAGCACCCCACGGACTGCCAGGACAGGCCACATGCCTTGTGGACTGGTGGGGTCAGCTGTGCCTGCCAGCCGTGGACATGGAGTCAGGGTCTTCCTGATCCCCGCCTTGGGGGCTGGCAAGTCCTGGAGCGGGCCCAGCGGGACCACAGCAGCGCTGGACGTGACACATGCTTGCCCGGACCCATCGCCGTCGCTGCCAGTGCTTTCCYTTTGATGATCCATTGCTCTACCAGGCCTGGTACCACCAGGTGAGAAGGATGTTGCTGGCGGAGGCTGTGGGCACTGGCCACGCGCATCCCCGTGGGGCCTRGGCAGGATGGCGCCAAGAACCCTGTGCGCTTTCAGCTGAGCTCCTTGCGGCCAGATCTGGGCAACGGGTGCCCATTAGCATCTGGCCTCGAGGATGGAGGCGCGTCCTGGGAGGCCTCCACTCCTTCTCCAAGGGCATCCCGAGGAGGCGACGCAAGAGGTGGGCAAAGGTGCTACAGCCTCAGCAGCCATTTCAGGTAGGGCCCTGCGGGGACATGGACGCCGCGGTGCCCCTCACAGAGGCCGGGACACCCGGAGCGAGCCCAGAGCCAGCTGCGTCCCCGAGGGAGCRCTGTCCTCGCTGGCTGGCGCCAGCCCCATCACCAGTCTTCCCGCTCTCCCGGGTGGGCTCGCCGCGCACCCAGGCCCCTCAGCCCGGAGCAAGCCATGGGCAGCCGAACCGGGCTGCGCTTCCCGTGCCCGGGCGGCCTCCCGGCACGCCGTGTACAGTCATGAGCCCATTTCTTTTTTTAGAGCGTTAAGAGTCTTTTATCTCGTCGGTGTCGTCCCTGTGTTGCGGTGTTTTCTAGCCCGTGTACAGGCGCCTAGTGCTCTTTGTGACAGGCACGTTTTTACAAGCATCACGACAGCTCTCTTCGGGGCTAACGGGCCGGGGGCCTGGGGGCGACGGGGACTCGGTGGCCCCCATCTCCCCCTGCCCCAGGAGCAGCTGGACGGGGTTTATTTATCACTGGTGGGGCAGACAGGCCCATGCTGCCTCCAATCGCCCTGAGGGAGGGAACGAGGCAGCCATTTTGGAGGCCTGTCSGCACTCTCACCGACGAACAGGGCAGGGCGACAACTCCTTTTATTTCTGTGTCCTGCCCTGGCAGCCCCCGTCCAGCCCGCCAAGGTCCTGCTGGAGGATGGCCAGGAGCCCCTYGCCAAGAGCAGGAGGGCGGCGGGCAGCGCGGGGTGACTTGCTGGCACCACAGCCGTCCCCGGCACCGTGCGGGCAGCCGGCGAGGGCTCGGCGGCAACACAACTCCCTCCGCAGGCAGTTTTGGACAGCCTAGAGAGAAATAATAATACCGCTACTACAGAGTTATAATGCTTTTAGGGACGTTTGTATTTTTAGCATATTCTTTTKTTTTTCTTTTTAACCTAAAAGATTTATGATGCCAAGGAYGGGGCTGGCAGCTGGGCCCGCCACAACCCAGTGCATCCTGCCAGGCAGGGGCAGCCCCAGCCCTGTGCTCCTCCCAGGGGACACCCCGGGGACRGCGGGGTCCCCCCTGAGTGTCCTCCCGCCGCCCTGGGTGCCCCCGTTCCTCCGTGACCCGTTTCTTTTCTACGGCCCGACTTCCCCGGGAGTTGTGCGCTCATTTTTAACCTCTAGGAATCTTCTCCGTATCTTGGTCAGGTATCGCTCTTCTTCATGTGACAGTAACATCCAACTG